TGATATAATATTTTATTTATTTTTTATTTTATACCATATTAATTTGTATATGTAACACATCTATGCGTAATATGTACACAACTTACACATAGTATTGTCGATTTTTTATTTCCAAAAAAATGATTAAAAATGATTAAAATATTCAATATATTTTGTGGAATATAAAAGACTGTTTGATTGTGGTCGATATCTTGGACTCCACGTGGAAGCACCAGGGAAGCAGATCTCACCACCCCAGGTCCACGTGTCAAGGCAAGTGACGCAGGTGAGTCACAGCCACCAAATGATGCTGAGCTGGTGGTTTAGCAGATTCTAGAGCACACACGTGGCAAAAGAATAAGAGCTTAATTAAAGCATTTGTAATTAAGTGCCACAATTCCACAAATGCTAAATCCATTTTGTAACTGGACCCAACTAACGGGTGACCCGCCTGTCACGTCCTTGTCACGTGGCTTGCCCTCTACAAGCCGGCACCGCCCCCTCTCCATATTTTGAGAGAGAAAAAAATAAAGTGAATATTTTATTTTATTTTATCTATTTTTTGTCAATGCCAAAAAAGCCCTTCCCCTCTCCAATTTTTGTTTCTCCTTTTTTGTGCTCTCTTTCTTGTCATAATTGGCCAAGTATGTATTTACACACCGACATCAAATATTATAATTGTGATTTATAATATGATAAATCCCATTTATTATCTCTAATTATAGATAACAAGAAAATATTATTTTATAAGCAATAATTATTTATCAGAGTCAATAAAATTAACACAAATGGTTTTATTGAAATAATCTACTCAAAATTTCTTATAAGTTCAACAACATTTTTATTCTACACTTTTGTCACAAATTTTCCTTTTTTTCCTTTTCAGTATTATTGGTTTTACATGTTTCTTTTTATGACCGGGGGTGTCAATCTCTCGGGACCTTGGAACTACCAATTGGTTAAGAAAACTAGTGTCTGTAGATGTAAAAATCTACCTTCGCAGAAAGAGGGACTGATCCCGTGAGGTTAAGGTCATTAGCGATCTACTGCATCTGCACACGTAAGAAAACAAGCGTGAAACAGACAGAAAACACCTGAGTGGTGTTTGCCGTAGGCACTCCAACGCTCAAGTCAACAATGCTGAGTGAGACTAGTTTAGTGAGGGTTAGGGAGATGAAAGGTTACCGGAAGTCTAGTCGGGGACTGTGACTACGGCTATAATGTGAAGTTCTCAAGTAGGAACTCTCGGGTCTGAAGGTGTAATGTCTCCGTCTCTTGTGAGAGGGTCGACCTCTATTTAAATAGTGACTGCATGGTCTTTGAATCCTGGTGGGATTTGGAGTCCTTGCAGCGGTTGTCCTCCCAAAGAGTGGAGCCTTTGACTCCCTTATCTCAGTAGTGAAGAGAGTCATCGAGTGCCTAGGATATGGACCTTAGAGGAATTGGGATAGTATTTGACTTCCTTAGTAGAGTTCAAGTAGTAGTGTAGTTCGTAGGCGATTGTGGACTCCGAATTGACCGTAAGCCCAGAAGACGTTCCAGGATTAGGAGGCCTGAGTCCAGATGGTGAGGAGCTGGGAAAACATACTGAATGAGCCTAATCTACAGAACTCTGATTTGGGCCCCATCGGACTTGGGCCTGAGCTTTCATTTTTGTTGGAGGTGTCTCCGTCTTTGGGCCTATTTAGGCCGATGACATTTTTTGATCCCAACAGTAGCCACCCCTATTAGCAATCGAAGAGGGACGCAAACTCAGGACTTCTTGAGTAATACACCCAAGAGTCTATCGAACCACTCGACCACCTCAATGTTAGTTTAGGTTTTACATTATTTATGTTAATGTTAACAATTTATACTAGTATCATCGCTAAATTAAAGCCCATTTTTGTCATAATTTGTTTCTCTTTTTTGGTGCATATCTCTTTCTTAAAAATAAATGGTCAAGTATTTATGTACAATACCCATATCATACATGTGATTTGTAATAAATAAATCTCATTCTCAACCTCTAATTATAGATAAAATGAAGATTTTTTTCATAAAGAGAAGTCAAAGAGACAAAATTATGCTCGATTATCTCAAAGAGCACTTGATTTGAGAATTGAAATTAATATGCAAAAGTAAATAATGTTGGAGACTCAAATCAATGCAGAGTCTTGAGCTTTTGTTAAGGTTTAAAGTGGTCGGGACACACCCAAAAGGTGCTGTCTAAGCTTTTAAATGCAATTGTAGTATCAATGTTCCCAAGTTATGGATCTACATGAGTATTTTGCTAAGATGTTTTTTTTTTTTTTTTCTTCTTAGGTTTGAAATTTTCCAAAATCGAGTCGAGGACCTTTACCTCCAATTATGATCGTATTGAAACATATTCATCCATTTTTTATCCTAAACTTGAATGAGTAGGAACGGGCAAGGCTGATAATCCTCTCAAGGGGAATGTATATAGCAACTACCTCCGACCTCACACCCTAAAACTTCAAAAAATTTCTTTACATCATTTAATATGTTTGAAATGTATTATATGGAACAATATGTTTTTCTATATTGTTTTTAAGACCAAACCCTACCATTATTTCCACGGACATTATTTCCCGTACTCGCTCTCAACCCATAGCTTTTCGAATTCACTACTGGAAAACCAATATGCACCGATGCCAAACCTCAGATTAGAACTTGGCATTGGTGCTTTTGTAATACACCGACGTTGTGTAGACATCGCTGTATGAATACCATACATGCCGTCGATATCAAGGTAACAGTATTTCTTTTATTGCAAGTAGATTGTATTTGGATATACTACAAGTGGATGCTTAATGAAAAGAAAAAAATGATATTAGGAAAATTAAGATTGAGGTATGGTAGTGTGAATTGAGAAATGGATAGTTATTGGAATGGGGATTATGTGAGAAATACGACGTGGCAAATTGCCGTGGAGGTAGGGGTGGTTGAAGCAAGCATCCACCAGCAAAGCTGAGACAGATAGCTCCTTATCAAGAACCACCAAAAATGTCCTTTTGGAGCCACATCCACCCACCCATTTTTGGCTCTAAATTTATATTGTCCACTTATCCCCCGCGTTACTTTCTAACCCTTCTCTCATGTCCCAAACTACTTCTCTTTTCAAATTTACACAATATGGACAAATACCCACCTCCCAAATTTATAATTTTCTTTATAAATTTGATTAATTATAGTCATTTTTAGGTTTGGACGTATGTACTTTAAAGAAAGCATGACAGACGTCTATAATCAAGAATGATTATACAATTCTAAACTCAATAAGTAAAATACAAAACCACTGTATTACTTAAGAAGTTATGAGTTCAATTCCTTTCAGTTGCTAATAGGGATAATCACTGGAGATTTACTTGGTTGTTAACTTTAAGGTCTCGAAGGATTAGTTGAGATGCGTGCAAACTGACTTGTATTGTCCTTAACTTCAAGGTTTCAAAGACTAGTTCAGATGCGTGTAAGCTGACCTGTACACCCTCAGTCACCGAAAAAAATAAGTAAGATATATGAATTCTCATAAGAGAATCATTCCTGTAATGATTATATATATATCTAACCAAAAATTATAAACTAAGTGTATGCATATCATATTCGTTACTGTACATTCATAAATGATTGATTATTGTAAAACCGTTGTAGGAAATAATTACTTTATTGATGAGTGTCGTGTAGATAGCGTATATATACATATTAGATTGTAGAAGTAAAATTGTATTTTGGTATATATTTAGTGTTTATATTTGAGAAGAATATCTATTATAGATAAAAAATAAGCTTCTCAGTAGGTCCACTTGATGAATTTTTGTTTCGAACTGTAGGAATATTGCGGTGAGCTTTTAAACTATATAGTTAAGCTCCATGGAAATGGACAAGTCTTTAAGCAGGCTGCTCATGCCGCCATTAATTAATCAGAGAGTCATCACATCAAAATGGTCGGTTGGCTAAACATGTATACGTTGATATTACTTTCTCCGTGCATCTTACAATATTACACTACAACAAAAATTGTATATTTCCGAGGATTTAAATTCTTCAAAATATTTAAATACCCTAAAAAATTACATTATTAATATTGTAATTTGAAAGATAAATATCGAAGATTATCGTTGTTTCTCTTGTTGCTAATTGTGGTTTTTTACAACTATCTACATTACTCGAATTTAATATCAATTAAAAGAAAAGCATACCCTAAAAAATTACATAATTATTGAAGGCATCGTCAAAGACCGTTATTGTTTCTCTTATTGTTAATCATAGTTCTTTCCAACTTCGCTCTACTTAAATTTAATATTGACTAAAACAACAGATACAAATACGATGAAATTGATGTATATGAAAAGTTTTTTCCAACTCCGCATACTCAATTTAATTGCAAAGCTTCGTATATACAACTCCAAACAAATTCAATTAATCAATTGATCGATGAGTCAGTAGACATATTGTATGCATATAATTAATTGAATGTTTTTAATTATTACTCGAACATTGATCGATCATTATCATGAAACAACACGAACACATAGTTTTAATTTTATTCTAATTACTTGAAAATTATCCATACATAAGCTTCAACTCAAAAAAAGAGTATTTCAATTATTTTTGGAAGAATATGACTTCAAACAAAATTCCAAAAAATTAGGGTTCCCCTTCAAAAGGGCAATCCAAACATCAAATTGGAACCGCACGCCTTCTGCCTATCACCTCTCTAATAACGTTAAGATCAATTAATACTTAAAGCCTTTTATTCTAATTTGACTCAAAATTGGCTGCCCATATTATATCATTCTCCCTTGACGCCACGTAAGAGAATTACGAATTGTCCGAACACGTGTACGGTAGTGATGATATGACAGACTGAATATGACTGATGCTAGATGCATCCAATCTTTTAACTTTACGTTCTTAAGTCACGTTATTATCATATATCTTTCCACCATCGTAATTTCTTCATCACTCAAAGGGTGTTTCGGATATTTCATATCTTTTCTCTTAATTTCATCTAATATATATATAAACTTAGTCACTCCATTCGGGTATTATTATCTCAAATTTGATCACATTTCTCCAACAAAACCTTCTTCTTCTTCTTCCTCCATTTCTTACTCACAGAAAGGTATGGCTTAAGCTCATTGATATTTAATGTGTTCTAAGATATGAATCTGTTCGTCGCTAAAAGTTGCATCTCCATAAAAATTTTTTTTTTTTTGTGTATATATTGACAATATGTTTTTTTTTTTCTTTGTTATGTAATTTTTGTGGCGAAGTGTGCAAATTATTAGCATGGAGAAGACAAGTTCATCAGGGTTGACGAGGACAAAGTCCGATCAACTAGTGGAGACACTAGCAGCAGCATTCAAGTCACCGGTGTCGTCGGGCGAGGCTCCCGCCGGAATGGTGTCGTCGGACGGGGGCGGTGCCACGCTGTCGAGGAAGTCGAGCCGGCGCCTGCTGATGGCTGCATCACCTGGTCGCAGTAGTGTGAGTGGGAAAAATAATACACACATCAGAAAGTCTAGAAGTGCACAGCTGAAGTTGGACTTGGATGAAGTAAGCAGCGGCGCCGCTCTCAGCCGGGCATCCAGCGCCAGCTTGGGCTTCTCATTCTCCTTCACCGGCTTCACCGTCCCCGCCGACGAAATCGCCGACTCCAAACCCTTCAGCGACGATGATATACGTAAGTAATTATCAACTCGTAAGCTCTTCTTAAGTTACAACTAAACGATAAAAATGGATCGTTTTGTCATTACGTGAGAATTATACATTAATTTTTTTTTAAATTAATTAATAGAATTTTTAATTTTTAATATTAAAAACTTAGGACTATATTAATTGTGGTCATTTTTTTTTATATTTTGAAAAATATTCTGTGGTCTTAAAAAAGTTACATGTGATAAATATTTATATAGGTGTGCTCTCATTCAATTGTATAGCATGTGGGTGAGTAGAAAATAGTGATAAGTAGTTGAAATTTTGGTCAAAAACAGGAGAAAATTTGGGTCATTTTTAATGAGTTGATTTGGGTTATTATTAAGATTTCTGAATTGGGGAAGAGTTTATTTGTGGGTATGAGAAAGTTAGTTAAGGTTAGATTTTAGAATTATAAAGTTAACCAAAATTGGGAACAGAAACAACCAGCCTTCCACTTTGGAAAAGTTGGAAAAGTGCTTTTCTGCAAAGTGATTTTATACACCAATAATTTTGAAATCATGAGAAGCCGGTGAATCTTGGGCCCTCGCTATAAACCCACTTGGGGTTTTAACCAAAACAGCTTTTTCAACAAGCATTTTTTTTCCAAAAAAAAAAAAAAAAACTTCACATAGGTTCTTAAAAGAAGAAAAATTAACTATATATTTGCACCAAAATGAAAGTTTTACACACCTTATTAAAATTTTAAACTATTTTTTTAGTTTTCACCATATTTTTATTCAATTACAATATTGAGTAATGTATAATTTCAAATGAGAGATAATGCTTAAAAAAATTAGTATAAAATTGTTTTATTCGATACAAAATAACCCTTTTTTTTTTTCAAAATAATCATTTTTTCAAAAAAAAAAAAAAAAAAACCCAATTACAATTAAACAAAAATTTAAGACCATATATGTGAATATATTAACAATGTTGTCGTGTGTGTGAGGAAAAGACATATTGTAGCCACCCACTAAGATAATGGAAAATCAAATTATTTTTTCCTCTCATCATTTCCTCAACAAAGTGTAAAGAATAGTAGAACCATGAAATTTTTGTCTTTTAAAGCCACACGCCAAGTTGAAGAAGATAGGTTTTTATTTATTTTTTTTTTTTTTTTTTTAGTGTGTGTTTCTAAGTGGGCACCCCAAAATTTCTATAGATAAAATAAAATAAGGTCCAAAAATGGTAACTGTTAAGTGGTGATAATGCAATTAAACTAATAGATTTTGTGTAATTGAAGATGGGTTTTGGGCAAAAAAGTAGAATTTTTAGTAAGGTCAAGTAGGCCACGACCATTTAATTCATTTGAGCTATGAAGACGCCAAGTGCCCTTTTGTGCCAACCGATAGTTTTCATGAACCAACTCTTCGCTATTTTCAAATAAATTCTATTTGAAGTGGGTCATCACCCATGAGATCATGACCATTTAAGATGCCTACAATTTTTATTTTTTTTTTTTTAGTTTACGTATCAATTGTTTTGGATAAGCTTATGGTGGGGTTAAGTCAATTTTGTTTTAAAAAAACAAAAAATGATTTTCAAAAACAAAAAAAAAAAAAAAAGGAAGAAGAATTTTGGTTTCGTATCCTCAAATTAAAAATTACGTTTATTATCATTTTCTAAAAACAATATTTGAAAATAAAATCAGCGAAAACATGTATTTTTAATCTTTTTATTATTTTTAGATGAAGCTTTGTAATGAATAGTAAATGATTGAATTAATAGGGTCCCAAATTGAGTCAATTTTAGTTCATAATTTCTAATTGTTTAATTAATAAGTCAGGGTGATTGATAGATATTTTATTAGATATATTAAATTATTAACCTAACTACAATGATAGTGATGGAGTACTATAATTACTTAAACTTGAATTAATTATAGGATTAATTAATATTTTCATAATATAACTTCTGAAACTAATTACTTTGATTCTTTTGGTTTGTAAGATGTTGTGTGGCCCTGGGGATTAGACAGACTCTAATGTGGGTCTGGATACCTCTATATCTAAAAAAAAAAAAAAAATTCTATAATTAGTCACATCTTTGAACGACCTCATTCACTTATGCTAGCTTCAATTTAATTGAAAATCACTACTTGTTTTTAATCAAAGAATATCATAACCATAAGATCATAAGAATAGCTTCGAGATAGTAACATTTGAAATACGTGTTTAAATTTACAGCTGAGGATATTGAAGCAGGAAACCATAAACCGAAGATTCAAACAGAACCCACCTTGCCAATTTATCTCAAGGTAACAATTCTTATGCTGCATGCAATAAAATGCAATGCGGGATTTGGTTTTTTAAATTAGAAAGTGCATCTTCAGGAGTCCAAAAAAACTGCACTGGTTTCTGGGTTCAAAGCATTGATTTGGTTTGATGATAATACTACTTATTTGGACAGGCAAAATGAAGGGAGAAATTTTCTTGGCATCCAAGCAATCCATTTCATTGAACATGGGTAGCATGGTCAGCTTCAGGTCTTGTACAAAGTTTCATCTTATATGACATTTATGTACAAGACTTTCCCTTCTTTCCAAAATCAACTAGTTTAGTTCATTTTCCTGAGTCCGCAAAGTCATTTTCATTTCACTTACGTGTTTTCGAATCTAGTCGAGTGATGCTACATGCACAAACTTTGGTTTGGAAAGAAGGGTATCGACAGTTTGATAATGTTTACGTGCTTGCAATGTTAGAATTGTTTCGGATTGTTGCGACAAGTTTGGTTTCAGTTTACTGACAGGAGGGTTTTGCTTGTTTTGTGACATGCAGTTTACAGATGTTTCGTATAAGGTGATAATCAAAGGAATAGCTAGTAGTGAAGAGAAGGAAATTCTGAATGGGATAACTGGATCAGTGAATCCAGGGGAAGTTTTGGCACTCATGGGACCTTCAGGAAGTGGAAAGACAACACTCCTGAATCTGCTGGGTGGCAGGCTGATGCAGCCGACCATCAGCGGTTTGATTACTTACAATGACCAGCCCTATTCCAAGTTCCTGAAGAGCAAGTAAGAATCTACATTAGAAATGTTAACATACACAGAAGTATACATTGGATTAACATGAATAATATCGCAGGATAGGATTTGTGACTCAAGATGATGTCTTGTTTCCTCACCTCACAGTGAAAGAAACATTGACATACGCAGCCCTTCTACGGCTGCCAAAGACACTGACAAAACAGCAGAAAGAAAAACGAGCAATAGACGTTATCTATGAGCTAGGCCTGGAGAGGTAAATCCCCTTTTCCCCTTGCTAATAATTTAGTCCTGGAATTACCTGCAATCCTTTGGTTGTAAATGGCAGTAGACAGTTCACACACTGCATAAAAACAGGTATAATTTTGATTTAACAGGGTCATAGCAAGCATAATAGTCACTTCTTTCTTCAATCTCCAGCAGCTCATCAAATATTGGTGTCCGCAGGTGCCAAGACACTATGATTGGAGGCTCCTTCGTCCGTGGAGTGTCGGGTGGAGAGAGGAAGAGAGTTTGTATAGGCAACGAGATCATAATCAACCCTTCTCTTTTGTTTCTCGATGAACCCACCTCTGGCTTGGATTCTACAACTGCCTTAAGGATTGTTAAGATGTTACAAGACATTGCAGAGGTTATTATCCCTAGTTTTTTCATTCAACTATAATTCGCAATCTATCCTACCCAGTTTCTCTAATGTCTCAAGCTGATTCCCTCTGATGCTGAAATACAATCTTTAAAAGAAAAAAAAGTAAAGAGAGAGAGAGAGAGTAGAAAAGCTTGTGATACTAACCAGTTGCAATCTCATGGCAGGCTGGGAAAACCGTGGTGACAACAATCCACCAACCATCAAGCAGACTGTTCCACAGATTTGACAAGTTGATCCTTCTTGGAAAAGGAAGTTTGCTCTATTTCGGAAAAGCATCAGAAGCAATGGTCTATTTTTCATCTATAGGATGTTCTCCTCTGATTGCCATGAACCCAGCAGAGTTCTTGCTAGACCTTGCAAATGGGAACATAAATGATGTTTCGGTACCATCAGAATTGCAGGATAGAGTCCAAATGGAGAATTCAGATAATGAAACAAGAAATGGGAAGCCATCTCCAGCAGTAGTGCATGAGGTAGGTCAAACTGCTTCCATAATCAACTGAAACAAAGTCATTATCTTTTGAATCCGGCATATTGATAGCATAGTTGCTGCACCTTTAATTGTACTCCCCAACATAATATTTGATGTTCAAACTGAATTGGATCACAAAAAGCTGAGGGTCAATGAAGTTTAAATTACTTCTCCTCAACTGAACACGTTTAGTTCCTCATGATTGCATGTTTCTAGTCCTACAGGCAAGTCACTTGTGATTCATGGTCTAACATCTACAACCATCATTTGTTCACTGATGTTTCAAATTTGAAAGCAGTATCTTGTGGAGGCCTATGAGACACGAGTTGCAGACCAGGAGAAGAAGAAAATTATGGCCCCTATTCCCCTTGATGAAGAAATCAAGTCAAAAGTGTCATCTCCAAAGCGACAATGGGGAGCAAGCTGGTGGGAGCAATATACAATATTGTTCTCCAGAGGAATTAAAGAACGACGACATGACTATTTTAGTTGGTTGAGGATCACCCAAGTTCTCTCCACTGCAGTCATCTTGGGATTACTCTGGTGGCGGTCAGATAGTAAAAGCCCCAAAGGCCTGCAAGATCAGGTAATTTTATTGTTTTGTCAAAGCAAGTTCTCTCACCACTAATATAAAATTGACAAGCTATTCATGTAAAATTGTGAACTAATTCCAAGTTCAGAGGTTGCAAATGTTAATCATACATGGAATACACAATCATCTTTGATACTAAACCTCCTACCTTGCAGGCAGGGCTGCTTTTCTTCATTGCTGTCTTCTGGGGATTCTTTCCTGTCTTCACAGCAATCTTCACATTTCCTCAAGAAAGGGCCATGCTGAGTAAGGAACGAGCAGCTGACATGTACAGACTAAGTGCATACTTTCTGGCTAGGACTACAAGTGACCTTCCACTTGATTTGCTACTGCCAATACTTTTCCTCCTTGTTGTCTACTTCATGACAGGCTTAAGACTGAGCGCCGGTCCCTTTTTCTTGAGCATGCTCATAGTTTTTCTCTGCATTGTTGCAGCTCAGGTATGCCCTTTCATAACAACTAACTAAAAAGAAACTATAAGCATCATTACCCATGTAATCAACTAAAGCTGGCCACTATGACAGGGACTTGGACTAGCTATTGGTGCTACACTAATGGACTTAAAAAGGGCCACGACTCTGGCTTCAGTAACTGTGATGACATTCATGCTGGCTGGTGGTTACTTTGTTAAGGTAAACGTGCAGATATCACCTGAAGTTAGAATACACAAATTCTTTGATTGGTTTCATTATCAACCAGATGTTGGCTGTCCATCCAGTATGAAAATGCTAACATAGGGTTTTCAATTTTGCAGAAGGTTCCAGTTTTCATATCTTGGATACGCTACATGTCTTTCAACTATCATACTTATAAGCTACTTCTCAAGGTGCAGTACGAACAGATCACACCCACCGTGAATGGTATAAGAATTGACAGTGGCCTAACAGAAGTTTGTGCCCTAGTAGCAATGGTTTTTGGCTACCGTCTCTTAGCATACTTTTCTTTGAGGAGGATGAAGCTCCAATCCGGAGCTTAGAGATAGTACAATTTTCTAGAGAGCATAATTCTGGATTCTATAGCTTACACATCCTACTGCATACAAGAGCTTATATTTGGAAGGCTTCGGTTCCAGGGTTATAAAAAAAAACTGATCTAATCTCTTCAGTCTTCAAAATCTCAGAATTCCTCAATGCATCACATGCACCACACCAGGCACTCGCATTGACAGAAATTCGAATCATATCTTAGACATCTATGTCAATTTTACCTAGTAGCGAGTTCATCAAAGTGTTCCACGGTTATGTAGTTCTAAAATCAACTGATGGAATCTATACAACTTAGAGAAAAGGCCGATATGTTTTATGTATACCGGTTCAAAAATTCTAACTTGTTTGCCTCAAATAATTTAAACAATATGCAAATCTCAATATTTGTCGTTTTGTTCACCAACTTTTGGTCCTATATATTATAGCACATACTCATTAAGGATATTCAATGCAATCAAATAATGAATGTAAATAAACAAGAGAAATGATAATGATCACATAGAAAAACGACATCAAAAAAAAAAAAAAAAAAAAAGTGTAAACAGAGAACCAAACGCATAATCATGCATCTAAATAAAGCTAATAGCTTGACTAAATTTACGGAGCATGTCAATACAAGCATAAATCTAACACTAGCTGAGCACAAACTCAAGTTCACGGGTTTGTACATTTTAGTCAAATGAAGTCTTATTCAACTGTAACTAACCATGAGTTATGCACAACTACAAAATTTCGAAACAAATTTCTGAAATTTGGTTGTGTAATAAAGAAGATGCAAAACAAAAAGTAAAATATAATAATCTAATGATACACATTGATGACCAAAAATATTTTATAGAGTATCAGGTACCAAATTAAGCAAGAAAAACAATACATAGAATATCATGTAGATCACTCAAAGTTCTTGTACAATAAGTTACAGCCTTACAAGTATAGAAGATGTGATTTAATGAGCCAAAATTGCTTAATATCCACAGTTGTGAGATACCTTAGCTTCAATGGCAGGGAAACCTCCCAAAGAAAAACAAAAGAGATTATATTTGTCTTCAACCTGCTGTAGATAACAGCTGTATCAAGGAAGCAAGCAATGTTTCTCTAGTGTAACAATCATCCAGCATTATTGTATTTCTCATAGGATATCTCAAGCCAATGTCCTTAACCAACCAAGTAATTTAAGGAGAGCAGCATCCAATACAGGGGCCTTCTTCTCAAGCCCTGTATAAAATAAATAATTAAATTAAAATTAAAAAAATTAGCAACATTTGAATCCCAATTGAGAATTGTTAGCGTAAAGTGTCATCTTTTATCCTTACTGCACCTCGAGGCAAGGCAATTTTTAAGAAGACGTGAACTGAGGAGTTAACATATGCATTTTGACTGTGTACACATGTCAATTTTGATATTCTACTTCTAACGTCACAAAATCAGGATTTTAAGTTGATGAAAAGACTTATTCCAGTCAATGTTAAGACCTAATAACACAGGAAGAAGGCCTCTTACCAATATCTGCCGCAACTCGGTGAGCACACATTACTCCTGAAAAAGCGACAGCTATAACACCTTGTCCTGGAAAGCAACTATCTCCAACACAGTAAAGATTGTCTATACCCTGCGAATTTCATAATTGTTAGGTCATGTCCATTCAGTAAGTTTAAAGTATTAAAACTGCCAAATACATTACTATTGACTTACAGTCGTATTAAATGGCATTCCTAATAAGCCCTTAGGAGTTCCACGAGGCATTGGTCCATAGGTACCCTTATCCCGAGCCAGGTACCGCCTGTGTGTTTTTGGTGTCCCAACCTGCCATAATGAAAAATGATGTAAGTTGGCCTACAATATACTAAAGGAAATAAAAAAGGAGAGAAAAATATCATCCTTAAATGGAGATGTATGTGTGCCGGATGGAAATTTTGTACCCGTCCTTAAATGCAAGGTCACATACTTACTATTACTGACCAGTATGAAGGTGTGAATTATACCTCCTTAAAAACAATGGACTTTTTAAGCCCAGGAAACAGTTTTTTCTCCAATCTGCTAATTATTTCATCTGCCACAAGTTCCTTCTTTGCATTGTAGTCCTTTTGAGACATTCCCTAGTAAAGTCAGAAGCACCTCAGATTTTTCATTTAAATCTATAAAACATACAAGTATGATTTAGAGATTATCATTTGTAATTTGAAAATTTACTCATAGCACTGAACTTACCTGCCAGTCTTCTATGGAAGAAGTTGTAAATATGTGAAGGATATGGCGCCCCTCAGGAGCTAGTGATGAATCAAGAACAGTCGGTATGCTTAAAAATATACTTCCATAAGGCTCCTCTAATCTTGTCCAGCTATCCTAAGAATCGAGGGAAGAAAATATTGCGAGTGTGTTTATATGAATTTTCCCTAATTAAATGCCCCCAAGCTGCTAAGTAAATAAAACTAATGAAAAAAGAAAAATACCTCAAGCACAAAATGATGGCAATCTGTATCCGGCGGCAGAACCTCAGCTTTAACACCCATGTGAATGGAAAGAAAAGAAGGAGCCTTGACATAAACCTTCTGAAAATTTTCTTCTTCTTTTGGAAGTTTTTCTCCCTTCAATAGCTTCCCTAACAAACCATATATTAAAGTTTAACACAGAGAGAACAGAAGATCTCAAGATCATAGACAATTAAAGTAATAAGCTCTTAGCTGAGTCCTACCAAATGTATCCCATCTAGTAGCATTGGAGATTATGGTTTTGGCGAAAAACTCCCTTCCATCCGATAGCCTCACCCCTACCTACAAAACAAAAACTAAACTAACATAAGAGATAATCATTACTGGTAAATGAGCATATAAATTATATGATCAATAATCCAAAAGTATGGACTAACTTACAGCCTTTCCGTCCTCAAGTACAATGCCAGTTACGTTTGCCTTGTAGAGTATTTCGCTGCCCTGATCAACTAGGCCATTTGCTAAGGCCTTTGCGATTCCACCAACACCACCAACAGGGTAGTTAATCCCACCAAAATGCCTGTCACATAGAACCTGGGGCAAATATATGTGAAAAACCAAGATATCAATAAAACCAAGAAAGCTTCTGAACAAAATGCTTACCATGCTAGCATTGATCATTGGTGTCTGCAAAGCGTTAACTGTGCTCACTATAAAACACTGCAAAAAACCACAGATAAAATTCCCTCTGAGATTGTGGATAGGCCTTATGTAGATCCTGAACTCCATAAAATTAAAAGAATGTGTAATATGTTCCTGGGAATGACTTTATCACACCTCTGCATCAATGAAAGACAACAGCTGGGGATCTTTTATGTACTTCCGAGCAATATCTCCAGTATTTTGGGGCAAATAATAGGCTGCAGGCAATAGCAACACTGGGTCATATTGGTCCAAGACCAGGAAATCCTTAAGTTTTTTATCCAAATATGGTGACTTAAAAGGACAATGAAGACAAAGAAGATATACGATCAAGAAAGACATGATTCAACATACTCTAGAACAGTTTATCAGCTGGCATGAATCACAGAAAATAAACTGGAAATAGATACAATTGTTTTCCTTGGGCGAGCTTCAAGATCAAATTCCAAATCAATGATCACCACAACCATTTGTAACATGCCCCTTTTTCAAAGTGCTATCACATAACTGAACTAAATCCTTCAGAAACCGAAATCCCAATTTGAATAGATAGTCAGGACTAACTTTATAAGACTAATACATTAGTAATCTTTTTCACATCCTCAACTAGAAAGGACTTGGCTCTATTAAAGTTGCATTATTATTCTTTTCCTTTCATTTTCCATACATATTGATTTCGGAAACTACAAATTTAGTGTAGCTTAAGAGTTTTCCTTTTGTTTTCAACAATATATCCACCCAATGCAAAATTGAAATACAAACAGAAATAAAATTCCAATTGAGCAAATTATTAATTATCAAAATATCCAAAACACAATATCAAAATAATTCCAAACTGTATCTAGCTCTACTTTTACAACTAATTAGAAGCAAAAACCACAACATCACATAAGTTTCAAGTTTTTCAAATTAAAAATAATTACCTAATGTCAAGCACTCCAGAGGCTTTTGAAAGAACTGCCCAAAAAGGTAGATTGGCTCTTCAAGTGACTTTAGTTCCAATGAGTTCAAGGCATTGAAGATCTATCCAGTAAGTAGAAAAGTTCTTAATGTGAGTTATGACTCGCAATAAAGGTCAAAACACTAGTAGGAAGTCACAGTCACCTCAATTAGAACAGACCTTCCAACATTCATCATAGAATGCAAGGATTCCTTCCTTTTCATGGGGAAATTTACTGGTGAGCTCAGCAATGAATTCACTGTATTCTCTATGCACTTGTACAGAAAGGTCATTGGATAGATGGAAATGGACTGTAGTTGGATCAGGTATAACCTCCATCTCACAACCCACCGCAGCCAGAGCTTGGGTTATCAAATTCAGATTGCCCTGACCATATTCGAGACATCCATCGATTTAAAGACTTTACCAGTACAAATGAAGCAAAAAAGACAATGATGAGTTTGAAACGGGAGTAATATACCTCAGACGTCAACACATAAGAAACAAAAATGTTATTATGGAGATTTCAGGAGTCAAGAAGAATTAGCCATACTATGAAGAAACTAGAGGGCTATTCATACATAAGCAACCTCGAATCAATATTTACATAATCTAAATAAAATGAACTAGTTAAGCAGTAGTTGCAGCCTAAATATTAATGATCAAGAGCCATTTCTTCATTTAAATACTGAATTCTTCTAGTACTACAATTTTGACGAGAACTTAAAAGACAATGCATATCCGAAACATCAATGGAACAGTTCTTCAAAACTAATTTACATGATAATTGGTTCATAATTAAAGAGTGATATATGATTCATTAGTAATTAACCTATCATATTATCTAATAAACTAATCATTCAAGCATTCAACTCCATTGAGACTCATCAAAATCAGACACATCATAATTCAACATAAATAACAAACAAAAGGACTCAAATATAGCAAGCAAATTCTGACCTTATCACTGAACCCAAACATCACAGAAGATCCAACATCAAAAGTATACCCATCTCTCTGGTAATATCCAGAGCTTCCA